AGCCTGGCGCTGGGCGGGGCGGCTGGGGGGGGCACGCTTTCCTCTCCTTGCCCCCCACCCCGGCTTTCCGCGTCGCCTCTTAGGCAGCGGTTGCTCTGAACACAAAGCTCCTTTGTTCGACCGAGACCCAGCCGAGCTTCCCCTCCCGTCCTCAGGGTCCCGGGTCCGGACTGCTCAGTGTAAGGTGGCTGGGCAGGACGCGAAAATGCGGAGAGCCCGAGCCGGGGTGTGCACACGCTGCCCCGGCGCCCCTAGATGCCGCTCTGCGTTGATGGATGGGCGGCGGCGGCAGCTTTGTGCGCGGCTGACTGCATTGTTGAGCGCGGGAGGAAGCGGGGAGGGCGGTGGTCGGAGGCGCCCGCCGCAGCTGCCGCCTTTGTGAGACGGGACTGCGGGGCGAGCCTGACCCCCCGCACCGAGAAAATGGGAACACTGCAACCCCACCTTCATTTCAGGCATTTTCACTCGATTCCTCTGCCCTGCCCCGCCTTCCACGTAAAAGGGCTGCACTGTTCTCTCCTCCTTCCAGCCAGGCTCTCATTTTTAGACACAGCAGTTAACCTTCGGTGGGCACTTCATTATCTGGCAAGATTCCGCCTGTACTGGGCGAGCGATCTTCCCAGTTCGCCCCCGCGCTTGGAAATTCTGGAGGAGGAACGGCGGGGCGTGGGGGGAACAAATGTCTTTTTTTCTCTTTGTAGAAAGAGGAAGGCTCCTTAGCCCCAGATGAAAGCGGAAGGAGGCGTAGGTGTGGCTTTAGCCCTCCGGAGCTAGGGCAGAAAAGAGCACTGAGCCCTCAGAGGCCAGGGTGGGTGGCTCCTCTCATCCTCCCTCTCTGCTTTGTATCCACAGCTTCCTCTGCAACCATGTCTGACAAACCCGATATGGCTGAGATTGAGAAATTCGATAAGTCGAAATTGAAGAAGACAGAAACGCAAGAGAAAAATCCACTGCCTTCAAAAGAAAGTAAGCACCCCCCCCTTGAGAAAAGGCGGGTGGGTAGGAGGGAGGATGGGAGCGGCTTGTAGGATGGGGGGGAGCCCAGATTCTAGGATGAATGTGGCCTGGAAAGAAAGGTCAATTAAAAGTGGTTTTTCAGCCAGCAAACGGCTTTGATGATTTTATGCCCATGTTAATACGCAAGTCCAATCTATTTAATATCACTATTTCATGATTTAATATCAATATTTCATGATCACGTGCAGAATCTCCATGATGTGGAAAAGTGTTCTAAGGCTATCGTCTTAGGTTCTACAGGATTCTCATAGTCGGTCCCCTCCATCTTTTTGTCTCTTTCTGTCACAGCGATTGAACAGGAGAAGCAAGCGGGCGAATCCTAATGAGGCCTGGCCGCCGATATGCACTGTACATTCCACGAGCATTGCCTTCTTATTTTACTTCTTTTAGCTGTTTAACTTTGTAAGATGCAAAGAGGTTGGATCAAGTTTAAGTGACTGTGCTGCCCCTTTTCACATCAAAGAATCAGAACTACTGACAACGCGGGCGCAGCCTGCCTCTCCCATCTGTCGGGCTGCGGGGAAGGGAAAGAGCTTGCATGTTGGTGAAGGAAGAAGCTGGTGGGACGACAGTGAAATCTAGAATAAAAACTAGTTTGGTCCAAGGTGTCCTGCAGGCTGTAAAATGCAGTTTAATCAGAGTGCCATTTTTTTGTTCAAATGATTTTAATTATTGGAATGCACAATTTTTTTAATAATGCAAATAAAAAGTTTTAAAACCTGGCTGGTGTGACTGGTGTCTGTCAGTGAGCGCCTTACTCCCAGGTGAAACCTTTGCAAAAAGGCTGGCCTGGGTCTCAGTGGGGAACAGTAAGTGAGGAACAACTGGCGATTTGGTCATTTCTTTACCGGACCAGAAGAGGGTTTCGCCTAGGTATATGCGATAACTCCTCTGGACGAGGCAATGGGAGAGGGTTTTGTAAAGCTGGCTGAATTCTCAGTATGAGTTATGAAAACAATATATTTGCAGTTCTTTAAGGGGGGGTTGATAAATCGACACAATTTATTGCATCTAATGATGAAGAAAAAAGGGTTGGTAGATCACTGTGAAGTGTTTGTCAGGGTAGCAAACTGGAATTGGCTATTCAGCCATTAACAGCGCTGACTCAATTTAAGGGGTCTTAGATAAAGTAGAAATGACATTTGAGATAGAGGCTTCCTCTTCTAATAACTGGTTTCCCATTAGCATTCAGTCTTTAAAACTGCCTTTTGGAAATGATAAGCACACTTGACAATATGATTTAGAAATTATTGAAAAAGTTTTGAGAAATAAAACCTGGCTTTCAAGGACAAGGATGGAATGTATGCTAAGATTAAATCCAGTAGGGTTTAATTGACACATGTCAGGGACTTGCCTTGAGTCCTTGAAAAAACTCAATTTGAAGAAAAGACTCTTAAGATCACTAAAATTCTAGTCTTCTGCACTTAAAGCAGAAATGGGAGACCCGCGGGACTGGTCTTTTATAGAAAGGATGTCCTTCCTAAACATCCTGAGTGGGTCCTGTTATATAAGGGAAGGTGCAGATACTTTTTCAAAGATAAAGCACCAATCCTATTAAGCAGAAACAGCACTGAAGAGTGGTGTCCTCTGTAGCTCAGCAAAGACCATGCACATGATCAAGAACTGAAGCTTCCCCGCCCCCCCAAACCTGACTTATAAAAATATCCTTTCTGAAGGGAAGGGGGTGCGTGGCAGATTGGTGATCATTAGGCCAGTTGATTTCATCTTTGCTCAACACTTATTTTGAGAAGTGCACAGGAAACCAACCATTCACCTGTGGTTTAGACAATCAAGAAGGCCATGGGCTAGAAGCTTCTTCTGCCCTGTAAGGGAGGGGTTGTGTACCTGTGGCTGCAGAAGCTGCAGCAACAAGACATCTTGATGGAAAAAGACGGCACCGCCCCCACCCCCACCCCGCCCTAGCCATGCTGGGCATTGCCTGCCTGCCAGGAAGGGCGTGGGCAAAGTGAGGTCGCCCCGCACACAGATACACCCAGGCCAAGGAGGTGAAGAAATGAATACATCAGTGTTACTGCCTTTAACAACTAGGCTTGAGCTTTAAGGGAAATGGGGTAATTAGCAAAATCAAGGGATGAGACAAGACCTTGCCCTCCTGGGAGGTCAAAGCCAAACTGTACCCCCCAGAAAGTCAAATGAAAAATCTGGCATTGAATTGTGTCGCTTGAGGAGAGGAATAGGGAAGAGCCACAGCTTCTGTACCTGTCACACGTCACAGGTCACAGGCGCTGCAGCGGGAGAGGCTGTTCATTTAATTATTTGATGGGGGAAGAGGATTCTTTTGTTTCTTCCCAAGACTCTACCCCGGAGTGGGGGGTATTAACGAGTCAGTATGGGAGCTTGGATTCCTCCTATTGAGCTGGCAGGAGACAGGAGACCCTAGCTGCCACATCTCTGCCTCCCCCACCGCAGGTGGAAGCAGACCAAGGGGGCTTAGGAGGTGAGAGCCAAGGTCACAGGGCCCAGGACAGCATCTGCAAACTGTGAACTGATCAGGAAGGAAAATGCAAATAGAGAGGAAACAGGCTCACTGGAGCACAGCACAGCCCTATCCTCACTTTAAAGTCTCACACATTTCTCAGCCCTGCAGCTACAATTTCCAGCCTTTGGACCTAAAACTGCTTTCTTTCAGATCGACACAACCTTGGAGATGTGCGCAGGGCTGAGGTTAGCGGTAGTGCTGGGAGGTAGGAAGCAGGCAGACTCAGAAACCGCAGACTCTCCCCGAGGCCCTTTCCCAGGGGCCGCTGTTTCTTCCCTGCGCAGTGTGAGCATGAGCCAGGCGCTGTCCCCTTTAAATGCACCAGGAAGATCCAGTTATTTTCCCCAAAGAAGCATGGAATGCCTCAAGGCACACCAATGGAAGAATGCTGCCTGTTTCTAAACCTACAGGGCTTAGTAAGCACTTTAACGCTTTCTAGACAGATCTACATTATTGTCAAAAAATAAGAACAAAAGTCTTTGAGCCTTTCTTAGCTGAGCATGTAAGTGGGCACTGTTCAAGGACACTTGATTTACCTGTAGCCTTCCCTGCCTAGCAGGAGCATAAGAAAAATACCCTCTCTCCAGCTCCCTTCCGCACCCCCTCCCCAAATTCTCCCCTTTTAAGAGTGGCTGACATTGCCAGCTAACAGAGTCAAACACAGTCATGTGAGGTTCAACTATATTTTATTTGCCCATAACGAGAAGGGACTACACGACGAATGTTAGACTCAGGTGCTAAGTAAGCGACGAAGAACGTGCTTGTGAGATCTCTATTTACCTGGCTTCTCTCTGGGTTGGATACTTGGCCAGCCTTTTCTCTCTCCAGCCTTGGCTTCCGAGACGACTGTGCCCACGGCTGGCTCACACAGGCGTGGCCACAGATGCTCTTTCCCCTCTTAAAGGATGGCAACTTCCTTTAACATGCTTGTTGGGGGGCTACCTTTGAGCACTCGGATGCTATGCGTGACGGCATACTTTTAAGTATATTTCTGGAAATATATTTAAAGAACATTGAACACTTTGGGTGTGCTGAGTTATAGCCGACAGCCTATTAGTAAGTGAGACCCCTGGGTCCTTAGCTCCCTGCATTTGCTACTGCCCAGCAGGCAGCCAGGATTTTCTTTGCCACAGAGATAGTCACAAGAGAGAGGCAGACCCTGATCTCAAGTGTTCCCTTGGCCAAAGGTGCCCTTTTTCTCTAAAGCTGAGCAGAACAGAAAGTGCTAAGAACTTACTCTTTCTGTGTTTAGGGTGAGTGCGAGCTGTTCAGAAGTTTGCTTTAGAGTGGACAGTCTCCCAAATGCAGCTCTAAAGATTGCATTCAAATCCCTCCAAGTGCTCCACAGAGAGTGAAATCTGATGGAAACCACCAGCTTCTCCACATCACAAGCAAATATTTTATCAGCATAACAAACATAATAAACAGTTTAGTAACTCAGGGAGTTGTCTTTTGAGAATCCTCTCCGAGGAAGGCTGAGATTTGGGAATGGGCTGAAAGGACCCATTGGCTAGGATTTTTATGATCTGGATGCTCAGCTTCCAGAGAAGCACTGCTTATTGCTAAATGCGAGCCCCTCCTCTGTCAGCCTCCTCTCTCCAGTGAGGTGACTGGGGACAGAAGTAGCCCCTGGAATTCTCCAAGTCCTTCGAGAACAACGTAGCAAAATGCTGAGCACACGAAGCCAGCCACAAACAGCACAAACAGCTGGGCTGAAGGTGGGTGGCTTTGTTTACAGGAATTCATAGCTTTGAACTTCAAGCTGGGAGGGACACATGATGGCCATGAGCTATTCACAGCAGTTGGAGCACTTGCTGTCACCTTTCTGTCAAACCACAGGAAGTTGTGCCTTTCCTTATTACCACACTGACTTCTGGGACTAGCTGATACCCTTTAGCTACACAGCCTTAGTGACAGTTTTCCCAATCTAGAAACAAAAATATTTCACAAGATTAAATATATCTTGGAACAGAAAGATCCTGGAGCAGAAAGAAGACATTGATAGAAAAATTTAGGAAATTCGCATAAAGTCTGGAGTTGGATTAAGTTGAAACACGGAGTAAAACGTTGGGAGCCGCTTAGTTACTCTGGCCTGGAGTACTGGCTTTCGCGGAGGGTAGAAGGAAAGATGCTTTATCCGTCAACATTCATGCAGCATCTCCCCTTTCCAGAACGCCCTTCCCTTTCCAGCTGCGGGGGACAGATCAGGCACACATGGCACTGTCTTCTCTCTATGCATCTACCCAACCACCATTTACTGAGCTTCTGTTTTTGTCTGCAATACATCAGGCTGGGAGACAGCAGGAACCAAGCTCTGAAGGCCCCTAGGCTTGGGGAAGAAGTCTGGAGTTACCCTTGGGCAATGAGGGGAGGGCAGAAGCAGCCCCATTTAGTGCCCATGAGGCAGCCTGTGCACGCTCCAGTTCAGAAAGGGGACTCCAGGGAGGCGGGCGAAGAAGCGGCTGTCTGCCCTGGCTACTGCAAAGGGTGAGCTTGCTGGGGCAGCCTTGCGCGAGAAGCTAACACGTCACACTCCCACTCATAGTTCCTAATGCACATTTCAACCAGACGGGCCGGAACACCTCCACATTCTGGACATTCTTCATTTCCTTTGCTGCAAAGTTTTATACTGGTGTGGACAGAAGGGTAATATCCTTGAAATGGCTGAAATTAGATTATTTGTGAGATGCTGAGCTTTGCTACGCTCCTTGCCTTATACAAGGCCTTGCACGTTAAAAGCTGCTCTTCAGGGCCTTCCCTGGTGGTGCAGCGGGCTAAAGCGCAGCACTGAGAAGCTAAAGCCACTGCAGCATGAGTCCGATCCCGGCCTGGAGGTGACCACATGGCGTGGCAGACCTCTCCTGGCCCGCCCGCTGCTCCCCTCAGCAGTGGACTTCGTCAGTCAGCCTGTTCTGCTCCCCGCTCTGTCTCTGGTGAATCCTCTCACCGCCCTGCACCTGTGGCCTGTGCCCCAGTTCTGTGTGCATAAGTAAATAAATCTTCAAAACAAAACAAAACAAAAAGCTGCTCTTCAATGAGGTATTAGTTTCCTGAGGCCACTGGAGCAAATCACCAGGCAGTGGCTTACACAGTGGGACTTCACGTTGTCACAATCTCAGAGGCCCTAAGTCCAACATCAGGGTGTCTACAGGGCCACATCCCTCCAAAGGCTCCAGGGGAGAAGCTTCCTTGCCGCTTCCTGCCTGTGGCGGCTCCAGGAGT